TTTTCGAGTTTCGTGCAAAGACCTTCCGTGGGAAGTTTTAGAAATGGCGCGGAAGGCTAGAACTGTCCAATCAACATCCGCACATTGTGCACACCTGCTGGAAAGGATTGCTGGCAGCGGAAGGGGCGCGGGAGAGGCGTGAGGAGGGCTTTGTAAAACCTTGAATTTTTAATTAAAACCCGCTCAAATTCACTGATCAGTGATGATGGATCAGATGGATCATGATTCATTTTGCAGGCTGGTGAGGGGCCGCACATCTGGAGTAGGAGAAGGGGGGCGGGGCGCAAATTTTCGTCAGGTGGAAATTTTATGGGTCGGAAAGCGAACGTGACCAAAAAGTTCGCAAAAAGTACTTTTCCATCGGCTCAAAGCGCGAAATGCACAAAAGTTCATGCATCACGAGCTCGCCTGACAGGAAAGACCACGGAAACAGAGTCCCCGAGTCTGCAATGGCGCTGCAAGCTTTTGTTGACATTGTAAAGCTTTTGGTTCATTGGCTCTGCGCCCATGCCGTGCCGAATGTTGAAAAGCCTGCAACGCTGGGCAAAGAAAAGGACCACTGTTTGCCCCCAAAACGGCTGCAGTCGCTTCAGAGTCTTCAGTGCTTCAAGAAAAGGCGGAAGAGAGGAAGAGAAGAAAGGAAATGTTGCATGGACTGGATGCCAAGCCCAAGGCAGCGACAGTATCCCCACCACGATTATGCCGTCGGCCGCATCTCTGCACGAACGCACAGCACCTCGGCGCCAGCACTCAAGGAACCGGTGCACCGGGCCCACTGCGCCACGTCACCTGCCCTCGGAACCTACCTCAGGCTGACGTCACATGCGCCCCTTTTCAAGCCCCTCTCCCACGGCATCCAAGACCAGGCGGCGACACTCCCTCATTCCCCGCTGCCTCCCCGACCCGTGGCCGCCCCCACGAAACGACGCTCCAAGGTCGACCTGTGCCGGTCGGCAGGCGCCTCCATGGCCCTGACCCTGTGGGCGTTTCTCTTGCTCGTGGCGCCAACGGCCGCCCCTCCGATGGACCGGTCTCACGCAAGACATCCGGGGAACCCGATACCGCGTGGGATCGGCGTGTCCTTTCCGGGTTGCGCCAGGATGCGCGCTGTGACAGTTTTAAGCGGTCTTTTGCATTTGCTCTGTTAGTGCAATTGTGTCCCAGAAACTTAATCTGGGTGCACAGATGGGCTCTTCGGCCCACGCGTGTCTTTCGCTTTCTCCACGGCCAGGATGATTATCAGATGAGGCGAACGTGGTATTGTGTGGTGGTGGATGTGGCCTCCAATGACTGCCGCCTTGCCTGCACCTGTTACGATTTTCATTACGACACATGTACATGTTCCAGGATGTTGTGGGCCACGCAGCGCAACGGCGCCGGAGCGGGACCTCCACAGCGAATACTCCCGCCCCGAATGCGCTTTCGTCCCTCATGGCGGCCACCCTGGCAGTGGAATTTCAAACTCGCTCCCAACCTTTGCGCCACAACGGCCACATCATTCTGCACAACGAGGAGCGTGCCGGAAGGGAAGATGGCCGAACTTTCGTCAAAAATCATAAAACCTTACCAAAAATGCAGTGTTTACTAAAATAATTACCGTTTTCTTCGAAGAAAATTCGGGAATGTAGCGTGCTGGTTTGACCACCGATCTTTGGTGGCGATTGGATGTTGTCAGACCACCCCGTCCAGGCCCGGCAATCGCAATCTGGCACTGGCGCCTCACTGCCACGCTCGACATACACGAGTCGCCGTGTTGCCAAGCGAGAGTTGAGTTGCAAGGCCTTTTATTTTCGCATTTCTTCAAAGATCTTTTCTGGGATGTTCTAAATGTGATGCGGAAAATGGGGACTGTAAAATCGAGATCCGCATATTGCACTGCACCAGCTACAAAGGATTGCTGGCAGCGTAAGGGGGTCTGGCGAGCTTCGACGACCGTTCAAAACCCTCTTCCAATTCACTGATCAATCTTGAAAGCTGGTGTGGAGCCGCGCGCCCGGAAAAGGGTAAGGGGTGGGTGGGTGGGCTGGTGGGTGGGTTGGTAAGTGGGTGGGGGTGTTGCTAATTTTAGTCAGGCGAGAAGCTCAAGGGTCGAAAGTGAACATGACCAGAAGGCTCACGGAAAATATTCTGCCATCGGCTCAAAGCGCGAAGTGCAAAAAATTCATGCACCGCGAGCCTTCCTGACAGGAAAGTTCGCGGAAGCCGATGTCAAGCAAGTTCTTGTCGATGCCAGAAAATCTCCAGTGGCTTGGATTTGCGCCGAGTGTGCCGAAAGTTGGAGAGCCTGCGATTTTGAGAGAAGAAGGGACCACTATTTCAACAATTTGAGATTGCCTGTAAGACGTCAGTACCAGTGCAATTCAGTGCACTCGCAGCACCAAATCATGGACACCAATCTCGCCATCCCTGCGGCCTCGACACATCCGTGCACCCGACCAAGCATGGCCATTTGGCACAGTTCCGATCCATTATAATGCCATGTTAAGTTGCGACAATTATTGTAGTGCTACATGTCCAGACGTCATCAAAACGCCGCAATGCTCAATCGCGACTTTCAACTATTTCCCCCAGAAAACGGCTGCAGTCGCTTTGGAAAAGAAAAGGAGAAAGAAAGAAAGGAAGAGAAGAAATTTACAGACTGCGTGCCAAGGCAAGGCAAATGCGGTTCCCGCGCCTCCACCATTGCCCCATCGGCCGCATCTCTGTAAAATCGCACAGCACTGCGCCGCCAGCAGTCCAGGCGCCAGGGGCTGACCCCACCGCACCTGGCCACCTCAGGTCACACGCCCTGGTGTTGGGTGGAATGGTAGTAAAGGAGCTACGCTACCTCGTCCTTGGCCAGGTGGTTTAGCACAGCGGTGGGAACTCCCGTCGGAGGTGCCCCGGATCGACGCCCGGTTCGGGCATGTACTTCACCTTCTACACCAAAACATTCGGGAACACAGAAGGATGCCAAACGCGGCCCTTTCTGAGGCCGTTAGAAGAAAGTGTGACGGAGCAGTTCTCCCAAGGACCCGCAAAGGAGCGCGCATGCTCGAGTGTGCGCGGGGAGCTCCCCGCCGCCTCCCCGGCCTCGTGGCCACCCCCACGTATCGACTCTCCATGGATGCCCTGCGCCGGTCGGCAGGCCCCCCCATGGCCCTGACCCTGCGGGCCATTCTCTTGCTGCCGGCGCCAGCGGCGGCCTGTCCGTCGAATCGGTATCACGTACGCCAGTCGGCGACGCGGGGCCATCGGCTTGATAATTTTCAACCGCCGTTGGCTGTGCATGGGTGCGAGTATTCGTGCTGGGTGTGGGCGTCTGGCTGAACGGAGACCGCAGGGCGGCGTTACCCCTGCCGCGGACGCATTAGACACGCCCGTGCTTCGAGCCCCAAGGCACCGTCGTCTCGCCCAGCGTGCCCGCTGACGTGTAAAAAATGCCCAATTGGGGGTTAACGGCGATTGAGGGAATCAGGGCGGGCTCGCTTAAGAGCACGGCGTGGCCCGTCAGGCGTTTGCGCATATGGGAAAAAGCTGAGCTGGCTCATTCATGACCGAAAATATTTCGCGTACGTTCCTGGCGGCGGCCCTTGCCGTACTTTGAGCGCTGGGGCTCTCAATTCCCCAAGGCCAATGTCCCACAAGCCGCCGCACGGGGATGGAACATTGATGGTCGTCATGCGCCGAGGAAGAGTGCCTTCCGAGCCAGCGGGTCGACAGACCGCACCGGCATGTGGGTCCGGTAGCCGGAGGGCCGGGATCGCGCGAAAGTGCAAAGCGCCACGAGTTCTACTGGCCGCCTCTCACACATGCGCCCGGTCGCGCGGATATGGAAGATGGCAGGGAAGGGTGTCCAGGCGGCGAAGGCTGTTCAGCTGGGTACCATAAAGTACTGAGCCTTGTGCCATACTTTCTGTCAGGCGTCAGGACGGCGGGCGGTCAGCACATACACGACAGGACAAGAAGGCCCAAAAGGGGCGCCCCATGACTACTTTCGTCAGCCCAAAAGTCTTTGTCACGTCGGGGGCACGTCGAACATCGTCACGGCGGCCCTGCTCCGTGGGGTGGATGGGCGCCCTCTCCCCTGCCCCCAGCCAGCTGTTCTGGGAGAGCGGTTGGCCAGCCTCGCAGGGAGTGCCCTAATCGATCCCGGTCCAGTCATCCCCTCTGCTGCCCGCGCTTCGGCATTCTCGCGAAATGAATGACGCGAGCAGTCGCGCCCAAGACCCCGCCGAACGGACCCCCGCCCCGTTTTCTACCCCCACCTCCACCCCCCGATCGCCCCTCCTTCCGCGGCCCCAGACCCTCAACGAGCGCAATCTTGATCCCCGCCAATTGATTCCCACCCCTCACCCCTCCTCCCCCACGCACACCCCTCAGATGCAAGTACTCCCAGGTACAGGTGAATGCACTCCCTCAGATGGTCTTGGTCTGGGCACCGCTTGATTCCCCAGCCCCCGCTCTCTCGCGTGGCCCCACAATCACTCGCCCCCACGAGTCGCCCCATAGTCACCATATGTGTAGTACATTGGTGTTATGTACTGAATCGCGAAACAGCCCGGTGACAACAGGCCAAAGTGGCCGGGCGCACGGATACTTCTCCAGCTGCTGCCCCTGGCGGCATCGCTCAACGTGGTACTTGAGGGTTGCTCCTTAAGGCCATTCCGCCTGACGTGACCGATCACCGCCCCATTTCTCGGACTCCCGCCCGCCCACCCCCGCGGGGCTCACTTCTATCCCTGCCGCCGTCCACGCTCACATCCCCTGCACAGGGCGCAGCGCCCAAGGCACCGCCCACCGCCGCCTCGGAGGCCCGACCCCAAACTCGCCTCCGCCGAACTCCGCCCAGGCCAGGCCGGGCCCCGGCCAGGCGCTTGCCCCCCGCGGGTGGCGCGGCGCAGGGGCGGGAATCGATCCCTTGCCACCTTGTCGCGTCGGCATCCCGGGTGTTGGTGGCGCCGGGGGCGGGGCGGGCGGGCGCAGGAAGGCGTGGGGGGCGCGCGCCGGCGCGCCCGTGCATGGACCCGGGCGGACGGCCGGCAGGAGGCTCCGAACTCATGCCCATCCCTCCCGCAATCAAGATCAGATCGCTGCCCGCGGACGAGGTGAGCTTCCCCCCCCCCCTCCCTCCCCTCCCCCCCGGTTGCCCCTTTCCCCACTCCCTCTCCTCCAGCCGCCGGCCCTTGTGCGAATTCCCCATCGCCGGCCCTGACATTGGCCTCTCGGGTGAGTTTGTTGTTTTCCCGGCGGGCGTCGGTGAGCGTTATTTTTCTTCGGCGATGCGTGCAGGACCTGGGATCGGACTACGGCGTGTCGCCCTCCACGCCGCTACTGTCCACGGCCATCGACGAGAACGGATGGGTGTGCGGTGAGTGCCCCGCCCCCCCTCCCCCCGCACCCCTTCCCGCACCCCACCCTCGAATCATCTCCTGACGCCGAGCCGGGACTCGTCCCGCCGTGCACTGAGGCCAGGGGGGGGGGCCGTCGAGCGGCGGTGGCACCTGAACCCCCCGGCATCCCACGCTCTGCCTGTGGTCGCCGCATTTTGGCCGTCCCTCGCGTCGACGCGGGCTCCCGCCCTCGACCCTCTCGTCCAACGTTCAGCACTCCCTTGTGGCTCCCAGCTTCCTCTTGAGGCCGAAACAAGCATCCCTCCCCCCCCTGGTTCTCCGCTCACCCTTACCACACACGCGCACAAGCGCACTCACCGTTTGCCCGCATCGCCACCCCTCGCGCCCAGAGGGGATGGCCGCCATCCCCCGCGAATCTTCTCCCACGTGCGGGCGCCGCTGCGCCAATGATGAGCCGCGCCTCCTCGCGCGGCCTCCGGCGATGCGCAGTCACGCGCGCGACGCCTGCGGTACCGCCCTTGACGGTTCGCCGCCCCTCCCACCGGGCCGACCGCCCCGCATCCCTGGCGCTCGGCGCCGTGCGCGCGCCCTCCTGCGCTTTGATGTGCAGAAGCGCTGACGGGATCTGGCGCTGCTCCCCGCAGGCAGCAACGCGGTGGGTCAGCTGGGCGTGGGCGGGCAGGAGAACGTGTGGGAACTGCAGCCGGTCCAGGTGAGCCCCCCTTCTCCTCACCCCGCTCCCTTACCACACACACACATGCAAACGCCCGCAACACTTGCTTACAAAAGAGCCTCGCATACGCTTGCATGGGAGGGGGGGGCGCCCTTTGCATGACCCGTTGCTTGCTCTCTTTGCGACAAATCTTGCCTGCGGCGCGGCGCCCTGGCCGGCGGTGCTTGAATCCTGCTGCTTGTGGGGCGATTCCCCCGCTGTCGAGTCGCACGAGTTGCCTGCCCCAGTCTCTCCGCACGGTGAGCGGCCAGCTCGGCGCTGCTGGGAGGCATGGGTGGGGGGCGGCGCAGCGGTCGAGGCCGGGTGGTGTGTGGGAGGGCCTCCAGAAAGCTGGGGGGCTGTTGAGGGCTCCCAGGCTGTTTCCTTTGCATGGTGCTTTGTGGTGTTCTGTGCTGCACGCTCACTCAGTTGAGTGTGGAGGAACGTGCACCGCCCCTTGTGGTACTGAAACGTAGATTCCCTCAGAGTCTGTCCTGCCAAGTATGAATGGATGCATCCTCAGCAGACTGACCCAACCGAAAACATGAATGCTGCTGAGGGCTCCCAGAACGCTTCCTTCACGCAGTGCCTTGTGGTTCTCTGTGCTGTGTGCCCACCCTGTTGAACGCGGAGACACCTACGCCGCCGTTCTGCAGCCTTGACACTCAGAAGCCCAAAAAGTCTTCTGTCCTGCCAGGTTTGAATGGATGCATTCACAGCGGTCAGGGCCGACTGAAAGCTGCAAGGTGCTTTGCCGTGCTCTGTGTTGCGCGTCAGCCCTGTTGAGCTCGGGGAAACGTGCACAGCCCTTCTGCAGTGCTGACACACAAAGTCCCAAGAAGTCTTCTGTCCTGCCAAGTATGAATGGTTGCATCCCTGGCAGTCATCGCCAACCGAAAGCACAATTTGCCCTGCCGGCATGTGCTAGTTTGGCTGTAGTGTTGGTCATGCCGACGGTGTCCATTGGATGCCACCTGTCCTTTAGTTCGCTGGTCCTGAGTATTGTTCAGTGTCTGATGCCGGCTGTCCCGTGGTACAGGGGGTCCGGCGCTGGGCGGCAATCAGTTTTGGGGACTACCACTCAGCGGGCATTAGCTGCGATGGCGAGCTGTACACCTGGGGACTGTCAAGTAAGGGCCAGCTGGGCCACCGGGACGAGGAGGCCAGGGAGCTTCCAGAGAAAGTGTCTGACCTGGAAGGCACAGAGATAAGGTAAGATTGCTGCATGTCAAGGAAATCAGGACTGCCAAGGCCACCCACTGTTAAGCAACTGTGTATGAGGCCATCATATAGGTGATGTTGGGTCTCCCAGTGGGAGACGATGAGCACACAGCACTAGCAGTGCAAAGAGCAAGCGAAAATCAAGTGAGGGGTCACAGGGATCAGGTGGACATGGCGCTATATTGAAGTTGCAAGTTCTTTGCTGAAACTGGAAGGCTTGGGGAATTGGCCATTTGGGGTTCAAGGCCACCAGCTGCTGAATGCTTGGCAAAGCTTACTATTATCAGATCGAACGACTACGATTTCAGCAAAAGTACTGTGGCTCGGATTGGATGACTGATAAGACAAACGAGCGTGGTGAGCAAAGATAGATGTTTTGGATGGCAAGGGCAGCATGTCAGACCAGGGCGCACCCTTACAAGTGAGGAAGATGCACAATCTCCGAGTGCAACAAAAAGACACACAATGCAGCATGTGTTTGCTGTGCCTGGATTGAAATCTGCCACCCCAGACAACCAGAGGACTTCTGACCTTGCCTTGCCAGTTGGTTGCACTGGCCTGTCTGTTGAGCACAAGCGGCATTCACAATGGGTGGGACTTGGCTTGGCGCTCCCAGCCTCAGTCCCAAACACTCCTATCGCATAATAGTGCCTGCCACAACTCTGCTCATGCCGTTGCCTCTTTGCCTTTAAGGGCCGCTTTTGGTCAGTTAGTATCGGCTTTTGTCAGCCTTCAGAAGATAGTGGGCCCTGGTGTGCAATTCCATGGATGGCATGCACCAAGAAAGGTGCTGTGACAAACAAAGCCCTTGCACCCTGCAGGCAATGACTAACATGAAGAGATCCGATCATTGCCTGATCAATGTCCTGAGATTGTAGCTCCACAGGCCGCCCAGATATGCGAGATGACAATAGGCTGCCACTAGGGGACAGCAGCATTCATGGCCTGTCATCTTCGGCCATTTTCTTGTGTGGTTTGAAGCTGGGCGGGTAGTTCCTGTCTCAGTTTGTTGCCCAGTAGGTCGCCGGTATCAGATCCTGCCACACAAGTGCCTAGTGTTGACAGCATGGCTTCCAGGTGGAAACATTAGATTGCTTTCTCTTGGGCTTGGCATGGTGGAGTCCTTGCAGGTTGGGCTGGTACAGGCAGACGATGGTGCCGCAATGTTGGTGGCTGTCCATGTCCTGCACCTCTGTGTCCACTGACACACAGCCCACCAACACTTCCCCACCCATGGTTAGACATGGCAGAAATAGCAAACATTTCAGTCATTTTCCATTCGTTGGACACATTTCACTCCTTAGTCATTTTCAAATCTGCTGTTCGTGGCATGCAAGTTGGTGGGTGCCGGATGATCAAGCAGCAAAGCATCGTTTGTGGCTTGGGGGCTCTTTAGCAAGAAAGTGCCAGCCGCTCCAAGAAAACAAATGGCATGTTGGCATATGGTTGGTGAAATTCCATTGCATTCCTTTGTTGGAAAGCCCATACAAACAACACCCTTGCACCTTGCAGTCATTGATGGGTGCAGAAACATGTGGGTAGTGTGGAATTTTCCAGATCCATTGGGATGATGGTTTGTGGCGAATGGAACATTTTGACAACACCATGATTGTATTTTCTGCGCACAATGGCTTCCACAATTGGAGGGATGAGGAAAGCGCAGACTTGGCGGTTATGCACACAGCCTCAAGCTGAAGTAGAACACCAGATGTGACGCAAAATGTCAGCATGTGAATGCACATATGAATGCATTCCTGAAGAAACGATGAGAGCACAGGCATCATCGATCACCATCGATCAAGCCTGAGCTGCACCTGGCCCAGAAGAATGCTGTGAAAATTTGCATCATGTCAACAGCATTGGTTTGTGCATTCTGCTGAAAGCCACAGAGCTCAACAACACTGCATACGTTTGTGGGCAGTTCCTCTGACAAAATTGCTGATGCAGACCAGTCATGTTCAGGCATGCATTTATGCGATGGAGGACAATTTGTGCATCCATAACGCCAAACTGCAGTGCGTTGCATAAACAAGTTTGTTCATGCAAAGCATTGCACACATGCATTGGGCATTGCACAATATGTTGCTGTACTGCACTGGGTGAGCACGCTGCTTGCTGCAGATAATTTCTTTGCTGTACACAACCTTCAGAAGGGTTCAATGCTGTGTGCCTGTGGCTACCAGGAATGTGACGTGTGGGTCGGAGCACACCGTTGCAGTGTCATCCCAGGAGGTGTATTCGTGGGGCTCCAACGAGCATGGGCAGCTGGGACAGGGGGACCTGGCGCCTGACTGCGTGCGAAAGCCACGGGTGGTGAAGGCGCTGCATGGCAAGATGGTCATGCAGGTGGTGTGCGGGAAATTTCACACCCTGGCGGTGACGGCACAGTCTCACGTAAGCACCTGGTGGACCTTCAGACCTGGGATTCACCAATGTGTTGGGATGCAAGTTTTTGTTTCTTTTTCTATTCCATAGCTTTCATCACATTTGAGGGAAAGCTGAAGCACACAGGATGGAAGTGTGCTGTTGTTCTGCAGGTTGCATTCAGTATCGACCTTGCAGAATGTCATGTCTTCCAATTTCGTTGGCCACCATTTGTATGCATTACAGACATGTGCTGGACAGATTAACTGAGCAGATGATAGAAAAAATTGTTGGATGGACACATGCCTGTCTTCACCTGCAGAGTGCATGACACCCCCCTTCTTTGCGTCCACAAAAAAAACGTGGTGAAGGAGTGCAGGAGAGTGCTATGTCGCCGTCTGCTTTTCTGGAAGCACCTAATGAGTCTCCAAAAGAGACTTTTCCAAGAGCACTCCTGCTGCTGAGAGCCAATCTCCTCAGTCCATTCCACAAGCCTTGGTTGAATGTCTTTGACTGCATTCTTAAGAAATTGGCATAATGCAAGCCTTCCACCCACCAGGAAGTTATGGGCACATTGCTGCTCACAAAATGTCCAGAACAGAATCTGAGAAAGTGCCAAAGTCCAAGCAGAATCCTTTGCAAACAGTTGGGAGCGATGCACAGCCCTTGTGTGCAAATCACGTCAGCTGGCAACATCAGACCATGGAGCGGACATCGATTGTGAGCACTGCCGATTTCAAGAGGGAGCATCATCGCTCAGTGTGTTGTTTGAGAGGGCCTGCAGGCCTGGCTTGCCAAATTGCACAGTGATGTTGCCACTGACCAGGTTACAGTGGGTGTCAATGCTGGAGAATGTGGCATCTCTGGCAAGCGCTGGTGGATACCACAGCAGGTTGACAGCCTTGGAAGTGCAGCCCCTTGGATAAACCAGTCAATGGCCCTTAGATGGTGCTAACCACTCCAGTGACACAGCATTAGTTGCGTGCAGGGAGTTTGTTGCCAGACTGCAGGCACATTGGGAGCTTGTCCAGGATAGTGTCAGGGTGCTGATGGAGATGACCTGATATTGACATGTCATGTTGATGTTGACACTTGATTTGATGATATATACCATTGAAGGGCACAACAGGGGGCCCATGCATTATCTAGGGAATGGGGGGAATGCTCCAATTTTCAGTGCTTTTGTTTCGGTGGCGGCTGATGGCCCCTCATTCTATCTGTTCACAGCAAAAATGAATGCAACCATCAGTGAAACGGTGTCGCTTTTTGAACACCAAAATGGGATTGCAGTCAGATGAAGTGAAGCCCAGCAACAGACCGTCTGTCACTGCGTGTTCTGCCTGTGGGGCATGTGTCCACTGACAAGGACTCGTGGGCAGTGTTGCAATCAACATCCTCACGATGACGAATGGACGTCGCCTGGAAGGCAACTTGAGGGTGTGGCAAATTGGCCATGTTGCGTGGTTTTACTGAACCCAATTCACCAGACAGCGTTGAGTATCTAGCGGCCTAGCAGCCAGACATCGATATCACATTGTGGGGAAGCCCGACAGCAGGCTGCCCTCTGCGCAGAGTGTAAGCACATCTTTGTGCCCTTCTTCACCTACAAAGTGTAAGGGCTGTGTTTTGCTGAATGCCTTGGAAATTCAATTTAACTGTTACGAAAAAGGAGTTTAAGGGTTGGAGTTGAGGTTAAGGTGTGACTATGAGGTCAAAGCAGGTTCGCAGCACACTGCTGGCGACGACAGGCTGTGTTTTGGCAAATGTAGCCAGATGCAAACCCTGGATTTCGCCTTGTCCTGCAGGTTTACGGCTGGGGCCAGAACAGCCAGGGCCAGCTGGGCCTTGGGGACCGCGTGGAGCGCCACACCCCTACCCACGTTGACGCCCTCTGGGCCCTGCCTGTGAAGCAGCTGGCCGCCGGGGACTGGCACAGCATGGCGCTCACCAACTCGGGCTTCCTCTTCACGTGGGGGTGCAATCAGCAGGGCCAATTGGGCCTGCCGCCCGACGCCGAGCACGCTGCACTGCAGTCGCAGAGCCGCACGCGGGAGGGCCGCAGGCGGATGCAGAAGCGGGTCAACCAGAAGTTCCTGACCGCGATGCTGGAGATGGGGATCCAGAAGGAGAAGGCAGAGCTGGCGCTGGCGGAAACAAAGAACGTGGGAGTGGAGATGGCGGCCGAGTGGCTGTACTCGGCGCCGGAGGGCGTGATCGAGCGCCACCTGGAGGAGGAGAGGCACGGGTCCTCCATGGAGGAGAGGAACCCGGATGTGACCGATGACAAGTGCGTCATGGTGCCCAAGAGGGTCCCTCTTAAGGTTGGTCAGGCTGGATTTCATTCTTTTGATTGTTTTTGAACCTTTGGTTCTTGTGTGTGATGGATGAAATGTGTTGCAGCAGTGGCAGAAGATTCTGTGGACGGTTCACTGTGACGCTTCAACAGGGAGAATATTGCGGTTGGACATTGGCACGGCTTCCAGTGACTGCAATGGTGGTTGGCCTGAAAGTTTCTGCGCTGTGAATCATAGCGTGAGCGAAACTTGCTTGTTCCGTTCGACAGCAGCACTTGGCATGATCGCTGTGTGCTGTAAAATAATGTGCAGGGACAGTTTTGCTGACTGGCACAATTAAATGCTTGCTCTGATTAGCAACCCTCGCATTTCCATCCTTGAGCGCGGCTGGTTCTGTTCGTGCTTCTTTTGATGCACGTCTATTTCATACACATCATCTAATCTCTCGGTGTTGTACGCTTATCCCTATATGTGCATATTGTGCCTCGGCAGTGTGTGAGGTGCATCGGCGCTGGCGGCAACCACACCATCGCAGTCACCTCGCAGGCCGTGTTCAGCTGGGGCGCCGGCGAGCACGGGGAGCTCGGCATTGGTGCCTTCTGCAACAAGGAACTGCCCCTCAAGGTTGTTGCCCTGGATGGGCGGGAGGTCGAGATGGTGGCCTGCGGCTCCCAGCACACCCTCTTCCTGTCCCAGGATGGCAGCGTCTTTGGCTGTGGCTCGAATGACTTTGGCCAGCTGGGGTACTCGGGGAACAATGGCACGGACGTGGCGTACGTGTCGCTGCCCGCCAAGCTCAAGCTGCCCTTCAACAAGGGGCAGCAGCAGCGGCGGGGCAGCCGGAGGAAGGAGCCCTTGGTGGGGACCATCAGCGCAGGGGGCCACGCGAGCGGGTTTCTGACACAGGTGCACGAGGACATGCCGGGCGTTCCATCCGTGGACCTGTGGGCCAGGTGAGGCATAGTGAGAGCTTTTTATGAAATTGGTATTCGTTTGTACAAAGGTTGTGACATTACAAGTAATGCCCCATCCGTGGTATGTCCAGAGTGAGTGTCCCACTTTTTTCTCAGCCACTGAAGACAGCCAATGTCTGATAGCCAGGTGATGCAGAGTTCTTGCTTGCGTTCCAGAATGTCCTGTTGCTCGATCTTGTACATGAAAGAGTCGTCCTGGCGTCTGACAGACACACAACTATGCAGATTGGAAATGAGGAAGCACCATTGAGTTCTAAGTTCTGGACCTAGCGTCCCCTTCATCTTTGCCTCCAAGTTTTGTTGCCTGTCTCTGGTGTTTACCCTTTCATTAGCAATTCTTTGGCTCAAATTTTTTGTACCTCTATTCTTTGTGGCGGTCTCCCGTCTCTCAGTTCACCCAGGCCACCAACAATGCACATCATCGCACCTGCTGTGGCCTGATTCAATGAAGTACAGGGTCATTGGCAGGCCTGACAGATTAGTCATGATCACTTCCTTGGAAAGGACACACAGCCGTCTGGTGTAGTGTGGGGAGGCAGATACGTCCATGCAGCTTCAACACTCACCCCATTGCCTGGAAGCACAGTGTGTTTCTGGCGGTGAACAAGATCGATACATCGTCTTCCTGGTCTGCTGGGGGTGCATTTTGTCAGAGCGAGTTCTGACATCTCGCCCTTCTTTTGCCCTGATCTCAGGATCCAGGACAACATCGAGGCCGTGCGTTTGGGAAACCGGGATGACACGCACGAGTGCACCTCCAACATGAGAGCTCTTGTGAGCTCTATAGAGATGGTGTTCGGATCGGCGGCTGCCTTGAGCGCTACCTTTGGCTACAAGGACCGTGTGGGCCTGGATGTGTACATGCTGCGCGATGTTCAGAACAAGATTCTGGCGCTCTGTGACAAGAAGTGCGGGTAGTGGTGTTTGTTGAGCAGATTTCTTTTCTTGTGTTTGCTCCACAGCACAATATTCATCACATTTGTGAGTATAGGCACCACCTGTGTCCCCATGGCAGAGACAAGGGCAAGTGCACGCAGTTGATGTAAAGCCTGAAAGACTGTCATGAAGATGACTGCGCTTTCAGCAAACAGTATTGATACGGGTCCAAGTACCGGTAGCAGCAGCAATTGCTGCTGTGACCATAGGCTGTTAGGCCTCTGACTTGCGCTGACTCATCCTTTTGTCTTCCAGGCATGTGAGTGATCCGAGCCAAGGTCAGCTGAAGTCCATAGCAGATCTTTGCAGTGTGAGGTGAGTCACTTTGCCTCTGATTGGCTGGCCCAGTTGCGTTTGGCTAGCATCTTTATTTCTATTCCAATATGGCTCACATTTAGGAGTACAGTTGCCACATCTGGTCAACCAGTGCCTGGCAAGTGGGATGTTGGCCAGCAGCTATCTGGCCCGCAACACTTCATTTTGTCACTGTGCACGTACAAAGGGAGAGCAGAAATCTGCAGCTCCCATGAATTTCCTGGGAGAACAATCGGGCTGATGATGGAGAACTGACATGGTAACACCTTGATTGCAAACCAAGTCAAGTTTGGAAGCTGCGAGTCCTGCTGCACATCTTGTTGCCATCTTTTGCTAACATAAGATGGAGCACCTGAGTGATATGTGTTGTGGCAGCACAGCCAACTGCCCCTAGTCTCTTTTTCTTCATGATCCCTATGCATACGCTTCCAGGATTTGCGCAATCGAGCCTGGATGTTCTTCAATGTGGAGTATGTGTGCTTGCACCATCTTCCGGACAATAAACTGTGAACCGTATCCTCCAATGCCTACTTTTTCAGTTGCATATCAATCCAACATTTTAGTGGACAGCTTTCCTCTCAACCTTTCAACTGCCTGCTTTCCGTTTAACCCCGCCCGTTGGCTGATCCCTGGCTGCTATTGTCCCTCCTGCAGCATTGTCCAGGCGATGTCGAAGGCTGCCACACAGCTCATCGAGGACCTGTACGTACACGTGAAGCTGCTTGGCACACCAGAGCGAACGCAAGTCCTGTTGGCTGCGGCACAACACCCCCTGCTTGTGGAACAGCCCTTTGCTAAGTCGCTGCTGCCAAGGCTGTGCTCCACAATACTGAACTCCCCTTCAGCAGCACGGCATGTGAGTAATCATCACATGAATCAGCAACTCAGTTTCTCCACCAGTTACACAGTAATGGCCAGCTAGGATGCAGAAACTGACCTGAAAATATGTTGCTGAGTTGCTTATGTCACGTGTTTGAAATATTACAGTATTCCAGGAACTCCAATATCCTGCGATGCATGCTAAATACAGTGTTGTATGTTGTCACCCTGCGACTGGAGGATGTGGGTCTTCTGTCACGGTGTGAAACAGAGCCTGACCATTTCTGTGCTTGGAGGGATGTCCATTCCACAGCACACTCGTATGTTCTGTGTTACTGATACTGAAAATTTTTGTTAGTTTAGTTCAGTACATACTTCAGTAAGCAATAATGTAGTCTGTCACATGTTCGTCACTCTTGTGTGTGGAAAATGGTGTGGCGTGGGCAGGATTGGCCGTTGATGTTCTGTTGTCAACTGGAGTCCGCACCATTCTTTGGGTACTTAGTATTCAATTTATTTAGTTTCGATTTTTTATTTATTGTGACGTCACACCTGTGCTGCACCAGTTGGTGATATTTTTGTGGTGTAATAATCGCTGCATTATTTTTGCTTTTGCAGACTAAGTGATCTGTTACACTCATGCATTTGTGCATAGCGTTGTCTTTTGCTATTTGTACGCTTGTTGAGCTCTTCTTGTCCGCTACTTGACACATGTATCATCCCTGTGCATCAGCTGCTGGTGAAGTGGTGGGGCGAGTACCCAGGTGAGCTTCTCGAGGAAGCTGTCGTGAAGCCCCTGCAGTGCTACGTCACCAAGGAGCTCATGGCCACGAAGAAGCTGACGGTCAGCGTCATGAACGCCATCAAAGTCCTGTCCAAGGTCGAGGAGTCCAATGACATTGGAAGGAAACTCCCACCTGAGGCCTTCTATAACCAGCTGATAAGGTGTGGGGCTTCGCGGAAGAGTACATAATGGTGGCACACACAGTGTGCGCCCTGAACCCTTGTGGCCGGTACCAGCGCTGTAGCATTAGCACCAAAGTGAAGTGCTAAGCAGCCAAAGCAAAATGCTGATGCCAAAGTACAAGGAACTGTATCTTGTCCCCACTGTGCTGGGAAAGGTATTGGAGATGCCAATGACAGAAGGCAGGAGCTGGCGTTGGAAGCCTTGTGAAGGACAGTGCCTGATGCAGATTTGTTGAGTACTTTCATTGAATGCGGATGTGTTACTTATTTGTTATTTCGTTGTGTATGGTTTGTTTTATGTTTCTATTCAATGGGGGTGGTGAGGCGAGCAGTGTGGTTGTGGGTGAGATGCCAAGGAGTGGGTTTTATTTTGATAATTTGTATGCCTTAATGTAGAGGCGGATAGTCAGTACATTAGTGAGATGAACACTGGGACAAACGGTGGACATATTGTTCTTGTGCAGTTGGGTGGCGACATGACCCTCGGTGGCTGACACGCAAGTAATGGAATTTCGTCACCATGTTTCTTTGTTCTGCTTTCTTCAGTGAGAAGATGGACGTTCTGGACCACTACATCGCTTGGCGCCAGAGTCACGACCATCCCCAGCGCCGTCCTGGCCAGGACGGCCCCTTCTCCTTCTGCAGCTACCCATTCCTGCTGGATGCACGGGCGAAGAGCAAGCTGCTGCACATGGAGGCAAAGCTCCAGATGGAACAGGTGGGGGCTGCAGGCGCAAAGGGCCGCAGGGTGCCATCTGAGCGTCATTGCCAGCACTGTGATAGTGGGGTGGCACTGAACGTTGGCAGTGATGGTGATAGTAGCAGCAGCTGTGATTGATGGCATCATAGCCAAGATATCGCGTTGAGAATGACTGCACCATGCAGCGCTATGGCAGCCCTATCATAGCGCTTGGTGTTGTTAATATGGAAGTGTTGTTGGGATGACAACATTTTATACAGGTGTGTGAAATGGTATTATATAGTATATAGTATAAATATGTGTATATGGTATTTGCAGGATTAATGCTTGCCATGCGTCATGCTGATGTTGTGCTTGCATTTTTTTTGTTGCAAAACTGTAAGGAATGAAAGGCTGGGCGCTGGGCCAATGCAAGCAAATTTGCACAAGCATGTTTTTATTTTGGTTGGAATTGTGTCTGTCACATGGCTGTCACAGTGATTCTTGCCCTGTGCTGCGATTATCTGACTATCTGATTACTGCACAGTTTGAAGCTTGCATCAACTGTTAAAGCTTTGGTTGATTGGCTTACTTAATATGTGAATTATGCAAGGAATGAATGAATCAATCAGTCAGTTCAATTGGCCAATTTACTGATCGGTCAGTGTTGATTATGTCATTGATCAACATGGGCTGCACAGGTGAACAGCAAATCGCCCAGTCCCACGTTGCGTCCATGCATGGCCCCTGCAGCTACAGGAAGCTGGATGAAGGTCGCATTCTGCCAGTTGAGCTTGACTAATGTGCTATCTGACTCCTGCTTGTTGGAACATCGATTGATCAATGCATATTTTGTGGCCGCCCAGACGATCGCCCAGTCCCGCATGGAGTCCGTGTACGGCCCCTTCAACCGCAAGAACCGCAAGGAGCCCGACGACGGGCGCATCCTGCCCGACCGCAAGGTCGCCCTGAAGCGGGATGAGGCCGAATCTAGCCGCCGCAGGAAGGCAGGCGCGGGGGAGGCCGGGAAGAAGGCGCGCAACCGGGAGGGCCCCGGGATCCGGTCCCTGTTCGTGAACATGCTGACGAGGGCACACCATGATGGGGGCCGGGAGGCAGGGGAGGCGGACGAGGTGGAGCCCAGGTTGATCGGGAGGGAGGGGACTTCAGACGGGAGCCTCAGGCGGGCGGGCTCGTTGCAGGTGGGCTGTGGGCACGGTCGGTTTTGGATTCTGAGAAAGAAGGTCAGAATCGGAAAGATTGGGTCTCAAAACCCTGAACTACCGATTTAAAAGAAGAAGAAGTGAGCACTGACCACTTTGAGGGCAGGGCGAAAGGAAAAATTTGGTCATTATGGAGCAAAATGTTCAAAGTTTACTAGGCAAGTTTACTAGGCAAGTTCACTGGGACTGTTGCCACAAATCTCTGCCTAATCCACAATATTCAATGGATTGACTTGGTTAGTCGATGGTTCTGTGAGTCAACCAGCCAGTTGGTCGACCAGGAAGGCAGGCAGGCATTCAGCCGATCAATTCAGTGAGCGATTGGCTGGGCAATCAATCCAGATCCCTTAAAAATGGCTCATCAATGAGATACAAGGACACCGCAGTATGTAAGTCAGAAGCCTGCACAGCTTGGAGCATTGCTAGTCACTGGAAATGGCATGCACACACGATCGTTTGTTGCTCATTATGACTGGCCCTGTCTCCAGCAGTTTATTTGTTGGGGCTGCCTGGGCTATTGTGATTGCTTTCCATTGTAGAATGCCATGTTTCTTCTTGTTAACACAGATGCCTGGGATCCTGGGGGTAATTGTCAACTGGCTGGCTCGTTTGTGGCGCAATTTTGCAGACATTTGCAGAGCCTCCCACCATGATCGCACTTCATTCACAAGCTCCCATTTTTCCCAACAATTCATCCGCTTGTTGCCATCCCACATTCTGTTTTCGCATCCCGCTTTGTTGCAGCAGCAGTCTTGAAAGCTTCTGGCTTGAATCAAATGAACGATGTTCAACTACCAGCGGTCAAGTTATGGATCAATATTCATTTACCAGTTGTCATGTATCAATCTTTCACGAGTTATTAGTCATCAATGCCGGGTTTGCCATGTGTTATTGAACAGCATTGATTCTGTGTGTGCGCTGCTAGCTTCCCCGCCCCGAGAACAGCGGCATCCCTGCCACCCACTCTGACATGTGCATCCTGCGCATTCGCCGCAACCACCTCACAGAGGACGCCTTGGACGAGATCGCGCGGCAGCATCGAAAGGACCTCTTCAAGCCCCTGCGTGTACACTTCATAGGCGAGGAGGGCATAGATGCTGGGGGCGTGAAGAAGGAGTTCTTCCAGATCCTGGTGGAGAAGCTGCTGTCGGTGGACTATGGGATGCTGGCCTACCAGCCAGAGTCCAGGACCTACTGGTGGGTCTGGGCATCCCACACTGGGGCTGGCTTGGCACATGCTCAATGTCCGCTGGTGCTGTTGAATTGATTGAGAAGTCAACGAGAACATGGATGCTGGCCTACCAGTCAGAGTCTATGACCTTGTGCTTGATACGCCCATCTGGTAGCCTCCAGCAGAAGCATCAAGTCCCATCCTGGTGTCCGCATTGAAATGAAAGGATGAAGCTCATATACACAATATGTTGTTGCCTGCTGAAATCCCCTCGCTTTTGGTCCTTGACATGCCTTTCCCCAACTCCCAAGCTCATTGTGCCATCCAGCACAATGCCCTTGTAGGCTGCTAGAGAAACTGACCCTGTCTGATCTGACACCAGCAGAAGCAACTGCCACGGCTGATATGCCATTTTCACATCGTTTGAATGCTTTTCTTACAACATGCATGAATGTGCTCATTTGTCCTAGCATACTTTCCTGCTGAATTCAGGTTCAACCCAGTGTCCCTGGAGCATGAAGACGAGTTCTTGCTAATCGGCCTTGTGGTGGGCCTGGCCGTGTACAACGGCGTCTTGCTGGATTTCCCACTGCCCATGGCCCTGTACAAGAAACTGATCGGCATGGACGTGGGCCTAAGGGAACTAGAGGAGATGCAGCCTACTGTGGGCAAGTCGTTGAGGCAGCTGCTTCAGGTCGGTATGGATGACTGTAGCTGACAGAGTATCGGGCAAAGTACTGGACAAAGTAGAAGGCGAATGGCATAAGCACATGTCTGCCTCTGTGTACTAAATCACTGCATCAGAACTGTGCATGCCCAGAAGGGCATTCAGTGCTCTTTGTGTGTGACTTCGTTTGACTACATTTGTCAAGAATGAGAAACAGGAATGTCCTTCTCGATCTGCGGCTGAGAAGAAGTGGGACAGACACTCTGGACATATCACGGATGGGGCATGACTTGTAATATCAAAACCTTTGTAGAAAAGAAATCCCCCCAGCTTGATAAAACCACTCTTCTCGATTTACGAATTGTGTACAAATATGCAATCTTTGTGTAAAATTTTGTGCAACAAGTGTTTCCATGTTATTACATATTGTTGGCAAGTGCTTGCATGCTGCATAAGGCATAAATTGCTGCTGTTGTCCAGTATGAGGGCCCGGGCAGTGTTGCGGATGTGTTCTACCAGTCGTTTAGCATCGACGTCAACATGTTTGGGGACGTCAAGACCATTCCCTTGAGGCCCGATGGTGAGGATGAGCTGGTGACTGAGGAGAATCGGCGGGAGTACATCGACTTGTATGTGGACTACGTGCTGAACAGGGCCGCCTGCAACCACTTTGAGGCTTTCTCAAAGGGCTTCAGGACGATCTGTGGGGGACCTGCCATTCACCTCTTCAATGCAGCGGTGGGTGGCAGCGCAAGGTGTCTCAAGGTGTCTCCAGATGCTCATTGGCCCTTTAGCTCCTTTAAGGAAGACATGAAATTGAAGTGAAAAATGAGAAAGGAAGGTGTTCGGTGTCTGCAGACTGTGTTCATGTTAGTGACAAACCATAATTGGTAGTACTTGCTCGATTGGGCTGCCTGCAACCCCTCGGGGTTTGACCACAACCCGTTTGGGCTTGCCCACCTTGGCCAGTAGTGTGTTACACTGGAAGCACGTGTCCAGCGTGAGCTGATTCGCTGCTGTTCTTTTTCTTCCAGGAGCTGGAGCGACTAGTGTGTGGAAATCCGTTCCTCGATTTCGATGCGCTCGAAAAGAATGCGAGATACGAGGGTGGCTTCAAGGTTGACTCGCCGGTAGGTCAAGGGTTGAACCCGGGCTGCCAAGGGTTTGAATGTCATTGCAGCGGTGACAGTGCTTGATTCCCGCTGTTCTGCACCAAGGCACAAAAGCCCCATAAGGTGGTGCAGGGAGCTGCAGGATATACATGGGCGAACACTGGTTCTGTGGACTTGAGGACATGTACGTGCCACTGGCGTATGTCTTTGGAGTTCCAGAGCAGAATGGGGGGAAGAAGAACAACAACGCCGATGGAGAATGAACTGCCTTGTTACTTTTCAGGCGGTGACACTGCTGCAGCTGTCCAAGCAGCGAAATTTCCATGCATTGTAATGTATTGTTATCAAATATTGGTTGTTGACTGTTCAATTGTTTGTGGCTGTCGATGTTGCCTGCTGTCTATTTGGCTATGTATTCTGCCCCTGTATGCATTTCGTCATCCACGACATGCACAGCTCTCATCTCAACCTGTGCTGTTGCCTTGCTTTCACACTGCCGTGGACATTGATGTCCCCAGGCCGTTCGATGGCTGTGGGAGCTGGCCAACGACTTCTCCAAGGACGAGAAGAAGCTCTTCCTCAAATTCTTCACGGGCAGCGACCGCGCACCCATCGGCGGCCTGGGCAACCTCAAGTGCATCATCCAGCGGGACGGCACGGACAGCCGCAAGCTCCCAACCTCGCACACCTGCTTCAACACACTGCTGCTGCCCGACTATGGCTCCAAGTCCCTGATGCGGGACAGGCTCAGGCTGGCCATCATGAACGCCGAGGGCTTTGGGCTGGAGTGAGCGGACCGGCGGCGCTCTGGCGGAATTGGCAGGTTGGGGGCTGGGACCAAGCTCAGGTGGTGGCTGTTTGTTTGGGGGTAGTAGACGTTTGCTTCCTTTAGGTTGGGGCGGCAGGGTTGGGCTGGGATGGGCAGGGGGGGACAGCGCAGGCAGCAGTTGCGTGGGGCCGATTAAGGCGGGTTCGCGGGGTCCATCAATTTGAATGAGAAGATTGGAAGGGGGGCTGTGTGTGCAGGGTTGTTGGGGCGGCCCAAGGGGCCGGCTTCTGGGCGGATTGCGCCAGGCGGGTTGCAGGCGGGCCGAGGGGCCCGCCGACCGCTTGCGCCTATTGTTTCGGTGATTTTTTGCATTGATGCACGAACGCTCTGTGACTGATCCCGCCTCTCACTCGCGCGATTCGGAAACGCGGCTAGGACCGCTTGGCAGACATTGTGTCCGATTGCGCAGCTCGCCGTGTGAGGGGGCCGATGAGGGAGTGTGACTGGGTGTGCACGCACCTGTTGGGTGTGCTCGCTGTCTGCACTGCCAATCGATTCAGTGAGAAGGAGGGGCGTGGGGAGGCGCGGAGGGCAGCATGGGCGCCCGAAATTCCTGGCTCGAGTGAAAACGATGCTAGCTTGGTTGGCACGACACAGACACCGCTCCACATTGCGTCATTGGCACAGAGATGTGGTAGCTCTCAGTGCGCAGCCGTCGATGGGTTTCCGGAGATGCACCCTTCTTTTGACAGCAGTAGGACAACCGCCCAAACACCCGATGCAGCGGGAGGAGTTTTGGATAAAATGAGAGGCCCGTCCGTCGGCTCTTGCACCCGCACACCTGGCTCGTGCTCCCTCTCGCCTGGCGAGTTGCTGATTTTGAATTTGGTCTGGGAGCGGCGGACTCAGGTCGATCGCCTGTCAATAATGGCCGACGGACGGGATTGCGACGCGACCAAAGATGCACGCAGGGGCTGGAGGGCGCCACGACGATGTGTTGATGTAACATAGCGGTGTAAGTGTTGTTAATTGTCGCGGTTGCGGGCCGGGAGTGCTGCCAGGCGTTTGGAGCCCATGTCCCGTCCGAATCACACCAGCGGTGTGGCCATCTTGGCCTCGGCCTATCAATGTACTTCCTCCAGGAAGTGTGTACTTATAGACACCCTTTCAATAAAAAGTGGCACAGCACAGTACTGTGAGTACCAAGTCGTGTACCACCTTTTCCAAATCCGTGCTTACATAGTCGGCAGTGGGCCAGGGGTTGGGCCAAATCTGGGCTCAGATACAACGGTCGTGCCAGTGGCGTCTGGCGCCCCACCCATCCGGGATGGCTTCTGCCACCTTCAGAAATTGTGACAACCGTGGTTTTATTGCAACCTGTATATTCAACCCTCCCGCATGGCACCGTAACGATTGGCCTTTTTGTGCGGAAGAAAAAGAATAACGCTCTTTCTATGAAATTTTGCACATCAATGTGAAAAAAATAGACACAACGGTATGGAAAAAATGCGGAGCGAAAAGCGTAATGGTAAGATAGCCTCAGCAGGCCACATGATTGCGATTTTGGAGTGGTGGGCCACACTCACCCTTTGAACACCGGGCATCACCAATTTAGTGCAAACAAGTTGGTTTTTGGTTGACTCTCATGATGGGCTGTAACGGATGCGATTGCCAGGTTTCAGTACCAATTCTGGAGGCGTTTCGGTCTGCACGTGCGCCACAAAGTTGGCTCCTTGCCATTACCCACAAGGTCTCCCAATGGTCATCATGATGATGTCTTGTTAAGGACGGCGGTCCATTCTGGCCGCCATCCCCGGAGATAGCACGGACAAATCACCCCTGAACGGGCAGCCGAGCCGCTTCGACAGGCTCAGCACCACACCAGCTGAGGGTGCACTGAACGATCAAGCTTTGGCCCTCATGCGGACCGGCTCTTCACGAAGCACTGCTTGTCGCGATGTCGCGATGAAGTCAACAACCGAGAATATATTCTCGGTTAATAGCATGTTAATATATTCTCGGTTCTCTATTAATAGCAGCGACGGCAAGGGAGGCTCCAGACGAGCGGCAGACGCCAAATTGACCGTCAGGCATGCAAACGCACTTGCAAGTTCTCTCACAGCTGCCCCCAGAGCGCCGCAACCGGTGGCAGCCACTCGCCAAGAGTCGGCGAGGTTGGGGCACCGGTCAGTCCCACGGGTCAGGCCAGCGCTGCCAACAGCGCAGCGATACAATACACAGAAAACGCCTCTTTCCGCCGCGGCGAGGCTGTGCAGCAACGAAGCTTGGTCACTTTGGGCTGGCAGCGCGACCGCGCTGGCAGTTCTGGTGTTGAACGGCAAGGAAAGCGGCTCAGAGACGGCACAGGCTGGCCGCGACTTTTGAGAAGGTCGAGCGCTATTGCCCTCATGCCTTGGCGAATGTTGCGCCCAGCCAGATGAGTCATGCGGCCAGGCTGAGTGCCTGGACTGCTGCAAGAGGCGCACGCGAACGCCACACCAACGTTCCTACAGCTGCCAGGCCCAGTGCAACAATACAGAGTTTCCCCCAGCGTTCGCCATGCCCCCAGTACTTTTCACCACCCCAAAATCTGGCAGATACCCCACATTCCTCATAGATGCTATTTTGATACCCATAATACTTCTGCCGCACCCGCCGTTGCACCGCAACTCAATCCGGCATGCCACACTTCCCGAGGTCAGCAACCACATAATGTCCCATTGCCCATATTCCCATCAAACAACCACGTGGCGCCTCCACGCGCCCCTCCTGGCTCCGTCTCACCGAGGTCCATTGCAGGCCGCCAGGCGGGCAGCCCCTAAGCCAACGCACGCGCCCTACGGCAACTTGGGTGCTCCTCAGTAATCCAAAGCGTTTTCCGGGACTGTCACTCTCATGTGTCCCCGCGTGATGCGTTGCCACGTACTGGTGCTGTGCTCAGCCTCATTGCAGTACCTTAGCGGACTCTTTGGGCATGTAATGAGGCTGCCGTAGTCTATATTTGTCATCGAAGTCATCTCCCTGCGTTCAGAGTGCCTTGAGCTCCCAGTACTACAAAACTATGTACCACGCCTGACCGATGACTTGGGTGTTTTCTGCACCATTGAGCGCCAATCTTCTGGATGATAATCAGTGTGGCGAGGGTGCTGAGGTTGTCGACATCCCCCCTGCACCATATCTGGACCTCGCGGGTCGCCAGCTGAGGGATATCGTTCATTTACCAGTTTTCTAATGAGACCCGTTTATTGGCGACCCGAACAGTTTTCATCACAAGGCAAGAGAGGCAGCCAAGCAGCTAACATTTCCCTGTTCCGCTCCCTAGTTTACATCGCATCCTGTACTTGACACATACACGCACTTGATCAACCGATGATCCTTGCCTCGCTGCAGATCCATCTCCCAATCACCTGGATACCCCTGCACGACGCCCATTGGACGCCCATCCTCAGCTGTGGCTGTTCCACAATTCCACTTCAAAGTGCAAAGCCGCCGCGCAAATTGGCTCACAAGGCGTTGATGCGACATAATCATGACACATGGACTGAAAAGATGGCCTGGCCGTAAAGGGACGTCGCTGTTTGGGATCAGTCTGGAACTCCGTTGCCTCCAGCTCGTTCCCATACCGCCTCCACGGGAAGTGCTTCCCCAGTGGCGAACCACCTAGCGACGCATCAGCGTCACACACAACTCCATACGCAATCAGACGGCAATCATATGGAATTCCGGACATTTTTCTTAGCTCCCCAGCTGAAGAGCAGATGGCAAATTCCATGCAATTAGCCCCTCCGTCTTTTCCACGAAGACCGTTTCTTAGTTTGGACCCCCTAACCCATAAGCGACTGACCCACTGAACGGCGTTGGCCTTGTCAGGGGAAGAAGAAGGGGTCCCCACGGAAGAGACAGAGCGACTGATATGTTCTCCCCACACACAGGAAACGGTTGCTCACAAGGTGCTACGCGGGTCCATGATACGGATTCTATACACAATCAGACGGCAATCACAAGGGCATGCTGAAAGGATGAAATAACATTACTGCCTGCACCAAATCGGTGACTGCTTGCACCAAGTCACGTGCACACTTTGTCCTAACCTCAATTTTAGGGTTAGGTTTAGTTTCAGGGTAATTTTTGGGGTCAGGGTGAGGGTTAGGACAGGTTTAGGTTTAGGTTTTAGGGTTTAGGTTTTAGGTTAGGTTAGTTTGGACGGAGTTGGACATGATGTGCGCGTGACTTGGTGCAAGCAGTCACCGATTTGGTGCTGCCAGTAATTTTATGCCCTGAAGGATTGTTCGGCTCAGCAGCTCAAGCGCGGATGGCAAAACAAGGAAGGCGGCAGTCTGATCCCTTAGGCATAAGGTGACCCAAAAAAGTGCTTGCGCCAGTGTGCGCGTCGCCCTCCCAGCGCCACCTGTAATGCCCTGTCGCGATTCCAGGCCCACATTCACCCCACGGGCGGGTCCCCAATCTCCGTACCGCCCTTCGGCCCCTCCCGCGGCCGCCGGCCGGCGGGTCAGTTGACTGTGGCCGCGGAGAAGGCGAAGGAAGGAAAGGGGAAGGGCGGTCGGAAAGAGCAAAGGGATAAAAGGAGCAATCAAGCGGGCGATCGGGCGGCGCGGTCGACGGATCGCCACGTGCGCGGGAGCGGGAATGGCCGCGGGGGCCGGAGAGGTGAGGGGATGGCCGAGAAGAAAGGATTGGAGGGAAAGGCGCGCGAGGCGCCGAGGCCGGTGGGAGGGATGCGCGGAGAATCAAAAGTCGAAAATTTGGGCCAGGCGATCGGGCGGCCCGGCATTGGGGGTGGGGAGATGGCCGGGGGCGGAGGGATTGGGGATGGCCGAGAAGGGAGAATGCAGCGATGACTGTGGAGCGGAGAAGTGCAAAAGGGATTTCGATGCGAGGGCTTTGTGGGGAGGGAGGGATTTAACAAGGGGGTGTTGGCGCGATTGCTCGCTGGCGCGACGCGTCTCTGGGGAGATTTGGGTGGGCGTGTTGACTGCGAAGTTTGACCGACGGCGGCGGACTGGGTGGAGCGGCCGGGCGCGTCGCCGCGGGCCCGCTGGAGCGGGGCGGGTTTGTGCAACTTTTGCGGCCAAAGCGCGACCCAGGGCTCAAAGTGTGGGAAAGGGTGCGTAAAGTACTGGAGGAGGTCTCTTCGGGCAACCCCACTTGTTGGGTCGTCGTCCGCAACGAGAGGGTGGCTTGCCTTAATAAACCCCACATTCGGAGTGGGCCGGCCGAAGGGACTGAACCGCAGGCGCCTCGTTTGGTCCGGCGCGGGGCCTCGCGCCTGGGGCGGCGGGCGGTGGGCGGCGGCCATGGCGGAGGCGCGCGGCTGTGGGGCCCAGGTGCGCGCGGATGATGCCGATGCCCTTGCGTTTGTTCTTGGCCCACGGAGCCCTTGCGCTTGAGAAGGCGACGGGCAGTGAGGGGGAAGGCGGGGGCCGGAGTTCCGAGAAGAGAAACGATCTGTTGGCTCCCCGAGCATGGGGGGACTCGCGCGAGGGCGACCGCGCCGAGCGCAGCCAGGTCGGGGCGTGTTGTGCTCGTTGGGGCCGTCGCGCGTGGATGTTGGCCCATCGAGGGGATGTTAGATGGCACCTCGCTCTCCCCGCCCCAATCGCCGAGAATCGGCTGCCATCCCGCTGGGCGGCCCGCAGTTTGCCTCTCTTTTCCAGTCTTTGGCCCCGCTGTGAGCTGTCCAGGGGGAATGACGGACGTTAGAGACAGGGGCATGGGCGCCCTCCGCGCTTACTCTCCCGGTGCCGTGTCCAGCCCCGCGCGACGCCGATTCCCCGATTCTCAAGCCGCGGTTTGTTTCCAGAGTCGTTCCGATCGATTGACGCCGTTCGGGTCGATCGTCGCGGCAGAGCGCGCCACGCGATGGCGGTCGCGGCGGCGCGCCGGGACCCGATTGGGGTTTCTGATTAGGTTTCGAGATGACGGGCTGTGGTTGGAGGGTTGGCTGCCTGGGCAAGGGGTCGAGGATGTGAAGGGGGCTTCTCGAGCCACAGTGGCTTCTCGAGCCCATTGCAGCGTCGGCATGGCCCCATGGCGCTCTCCACGCGCCTTGCAAAAACCTTGAGCCGCGGCCGGCAATCCTCCAAACCCCATCGATTGTTGACGACTGGGGCACCTGGAAGCAATCGGGCTCGCTGACGATCAAGGCCCTCTCTCCTCGGGCTCGCGATGCCATGCAGCGCCCCGGGCGACGTCCGCGCGTCGAGAAAAAATTCCCCTCCTGCCTCAATCTTGCCGAAGATTTGCCGGCGGGGCAGGGAAACCTTGTCATCCTGCGGCCGCCCCCTCCCGAGCAGATGCGCATGCGAGTCCCTTTCCTCGCAGTGAGAGATGGCGTAGAAGTTTCGGGATCTGCTACCCCGTCGACTGAAAAGAATTAGCGCAATTGAGTCCAATTTGCCGATCGAGCCGTTCTCGCGTCGCGTTTTGCTAGCCACCTGGGCTCCTGCTGTCCCAAGCCCTAGGGCAGTCCCGGCCATGCCGCTGGCGCCGCTCAACCCCAGCCCGGCCAGAGCGCGGCCACGATGTGGACACTGATGTCTGAATTCCGTTGGCTGTGACTGTCACAACACACGACGACAGCAGTCGTCACGATTGCAACTTGGGCAGCGATGACGGGCCCAATGGTGTCTGTACTCGACTTTGCATGATACGGAAGGTTTTGCCCTTTGAGCACGATTGCAAAGTTGTCAGAAGCTTCACAGCTGATCAAGGACTTGATATGTGCTGATCCCCGGCCAGAGAGGTTTGATGTGTTAATCCTCTGGAGGGCAGCCAAACTGCAAGACGCAGACAAGGAAAGGGAATGGATTGATGCATGCTCTCCTCTGCAAACGTGAATTTACTGCAGTAAATGGGAATTTTGTGCACAAGTATGTGTTGATGAAGTGCATGAGGGGCAGCACGTTTGCATGAAGGAGCGCATTAGCATGATTGAGTGTTTGGGCTGGAGCCCTAGCATCACAAAACCGATGTGCTTCCACTCGAAAGTGTGGTGGCACACTATGTGTTGGTTCGCTTGTGTGGGTGTGTGGGTGTGTGGATAGTTGCAGGAAGGGGAACTCGGTGGGGTTGCAGAGTGTTGACAGTGCGACTTGACTGATTACTAATTTCAAGAAAAGACATGTGGCACTGCCATATTAGTAGCCCCGAGTCAGTCAATCAATCAAGATGCTTTAAAATGACGGTTCTACAACACAGGTTCTAGCGTCTGTGTGACTCTGGTTCGATAGCTTGAAGTGCATCTCTGGTATTGTTTGTCCCAGAATAGTGTTGCCCTTGGTTGTATGGTGATACGGTGGTTCATTCTTTTGGTGCAGATAAAGAGGTGAGATCTGTTGTGCAGGTGCCAGTTCCGTTGCCCTTGGAACTATGAGCTCCCTGGGTTTATGTTGTTGAAGTGTCATGTGGTTGGAATCTTGATCCCTTGATGGATTTCTTCACTTGTGTTTGTGGAATTGCTTAATTTCATTATTTTTATGGACTGGGTGCCCATGCAGGGGAGCGCCATGGACCAAACAAGCACTCGAAGATTGATGTTGACGGTTCAGGATGTGGTCGGGAAGGGGTCAGATGGGCCCCCGTTCTGGAGTCCACAGTTCACCAAAGGTTTTGTTGAAGGTGGGTGCTGTTGTCTCTGAAACTGCCCTATCGTACAATCACCACGTTCATTAGCCGACATTGAGGCTTCTGATTCCCCGCTTTTCCGCAGCAGCACCGCAGCAGGAGCCCTGGGACACGGCAGTCTGGAACTTCAACAAGTGTACCATGCTCATCAGACTTTTGTTGCCGGTTGTTGATTCACCCTTGTTTGCCGTTGATTGTAGCTACTGTTACTGTTGATGTGACGAGTCAGGCACCTGCCCAATGCCCCAAAACAGCTTTTCGATGGGTTTTTGCCATTATGGGGCAGCTCACACATCATCAAGAAAATGCGGTACAACCAAGTACTGCAAAGTACTAAACAGGCCTGTTATCCGAAAAATAGGCAGCTGTTCCTTGCTCACTCTCTCCCTCACAAAGTGCTTGCTGCTCCAACGTTTCCACTGGCGTAAACAGGGCATGTAATGGCACATGATAATTGCTAGATCACTTGCGACAAAAAAGAACCTCTCGGGCCAGCCATGTTGCCGAGGAGCTGTGTATGGGACCCCTGGATTGCACCCTCAACGCATTGTCCATTTGATTCGGCGATTCGCTAAACATTGTCAGCAATTTTCCAAAGCTCTTCCAGGCTTCCGCTCTCCAGGTTGCTGAAATGATATCAGCCAAAGATCTCCTGTGGAAGGCACGTTGCCATGCGCCTACCATCTTGCTTGTCGTTCTGTGTCTCAGGCTGTGTGGTCCTCTGTCGTGCTTTTATCTGTTGCTCATTGTGATGAACAACTGTAAAAATTGCTTCCTTTCCAGGACCCCGATTGCAGGCCTTGTGCATGTTGAAAAGAAAAAAGAAAGAAAAAGAAAAAAAAAGAAATTCCCTGAAAACAGAAAAGGCACTGGAATGGGAATTGTGCGCCTGATTTGGCCGGATAGGGGGGGCACATATATGCACTGACTACAAATCTGAAGCTGTGGAAATCACTGCCCTTATTGGGCTTGCACATGCTGGGCTGTGTTGGCAGCTGCAGGAGGTCTGTGATCTGGAATATCAGGATCCGAACAGGCAGTGAAACAGACCTAGGGGCAACTTGGGGGCCGAGTTGGCACAGGGGTTGTGGCAAACTACCGTGTGCAGTGGCCGTATTGTAGCTATGCTCATTGGTCAGTTGCTGTTCATTTTATCCCTATGTTTGACCTGCAGTGGTGCTGTCTTGGGGCTGTACTCTGTCTCATTTTGTGCTTCTTTTGCGACACAGTGAAATTTGGTAAGATGAGGACGGAGAAGGTGAGATCACCATGCAGCCCATCACTTGATAAGGCGACAGCAGAGTCCACAGCACTGTGGAATCGCTGCGTCTGGCTGTGGTTGCCCATTGTTGTCCAACAGGTGTCAAGCAATTGATAGAAATCTTCTGCTGAGTGCTACCACGATGGTTGTCAAGAGGTGCCAGTTTCTTTTCTTTGCGCTTTTTAAAGGAGAGGGCTGAAGAACTGAGCGCCTGTGCTCAGAAGCGATAGGGTTTTGCATGATAATATGTGCAATGCAACAGTAGCACATCCTGTGGTAATAGAAAAATAATTAGGCCTCAGCAAGCATTCATGGTTTGGGGGGTGTGCCGTTTTGGTGCAGGTGTCCACTGCTGCACAGGATATGGAAGACTTTGAGCTCAGCTTCAATGAGGAACTTGCAGTGTGAGTTGTGAACCCTCAGTCAGTTGTGATCCTTCAGGGCCACGTCCAGCAACATGCTTCCATGAATTGCAGTATTCCGAAAAGAAATCCACGACAACAAAGGTCTTGCACCTTGCAGGCCACTATGTGCACCTGAATGCCCAATTTGACTTTTATCAGCATCCTATGATCGAAATTCCGTGCAGCACTCATCTGCACATCACTGTGCAGCGCTGCAGCCAGTCTTCCACAAACGCCAGGGTGCCCATACCTTTGCAAATCTATCGATGATTTTCTGTGCCATTTTGCATACAAATGTGCTGCCTTGCACTTAGCGTTTGTACTGGGCAACGATCCCCTCAGTTCTGACCTCGACGTGTTGCCACAAACAGGGACATGGACGCCAACTGTCAGGAACTCGTCGTCAGCGTTGTCAGTGGAGAAGTGGACAACCCTGGCCCCGTGCTTGCCCGTTGCGGTGCGTGCAGCCTTTGGTGCTCCAAATGTTTAAGGTGGCCATATCAGATGATGTCAATTGGATTGCAGTCATCAGAACAGCCATGAAGAACAAAGCCTTTGCGTCTTGCAGGCAATGACGTTTCAAAGGTGTGCGTGTGATAAGTGAGAATATATTGGGCCCAGCGTCTTTCTGCGAGGATCCCTTCTTCTGCTGCTGACAAGGCCAACGAGGGTCAGC